TTCCCTTCCTTTTTCTGCATAATCAGTGCTATATACCATTTGAATAGATAACATATCCTAGCCACCCCACCCGACTGGCTGGCCACCTGGGGGCAAAGCCCCCTTCTCCCTGCCAAGGGATGAATAAAGTACTGAGATTTGTTCACGGCTAAAGCTATGTGTCTATTTGTATCTCCCCCTCGGGATTGCTCAGTCACTGGTCACACAAGTTGCCCACAGGACTCTGGGAATTCTCCAGTTATGGGGAAAGGGCGTCAGGTACCTAGTTACACCTTCCGGCCAATGCGACTTGGACACGGAAGGTCTCCCGCCCCAACATCCTACAAGGAGGCTGCACCAGGGTTGACCTACATTCCCAGTGCCTCCTGACAGGTCCAGGCACCAGGTGGCTGCCTTAGCAAGCACAGAAGTGAGGGATTCTTCCAAGTGGTATCGGGTTCCCTCTCCAGCACGACTCTGCGGGTTGGCCAGAATCTGTTCTGATGGGTACAGGCCTAATCCTGCCAAGTCAAATTCTAGATCCACAGACAAGAACTGAGGACCTTCTCCAAGCCCAGCCCTGCGCTGGGATACCCACAATTGTTCTCCACCCCTCCACCTCAGGGAGCTCACAGTCAACTGAGAGAGAACTTCTCTGCTCAAGACAGCCATTCTGGACTTCCTGGCCAAGTGAAGAAGGTCAAGGAAGAGAGGGGCTTGTGCAGGGGCCCCAGGAATCAGAGCAGGCTTCTTGGAGGAAGTGGGGCTTTCAGTGAGTGTGAAGGAGCTAGATAGACTGAAGGAAGAACCTGTGTCTCAAAGACAAGAATCTTGGGGGCAAAGTAGGGACTTTGAAGCACTGAGACCTCGGAAAAATGAGCCTCAGTTTCCTCATCTGTAAAATGGAGCATACGCCTTCCCTACTTACCTAATAGGGCATTTGAGGATCTGACCATTGTTATGTTCATTCCTATCAGCAATAACACACCTCTTGTTTCCAGCACTCTGAACAGCTCTGCAAATGTGAAGGATTATTAGTGATGTTGTCATTGTTATTACAGCAGATGTTATGGATTAAAGACAACCCACTGGTTGGTAGACCAAATACAGGCAAGAAAGCCTAGAGCTGGCTCTCCTGAGACTCAGGAGAGCCGGGTGAATAAACCACATTCCTATCCAGGAGGGGCCTAGAGCCAGATTAGCTCTCTACTTATTTTATCTTTGTTTTGTATTCTATTTTCTATTCTAATTTCTGAATTATGAATTTATAAATACTAATTTGAATTTCTGAATTTCATAGTCAAAAATACATAACACATTGCCCTGGCTGGGTGGCTCAGTTGGTTGGAGCATCGTCCAGCACAACAAAAGGTTGTGGGTTCGATTCCTGGTCAGAACATATACCTAGGTTTCAGGTTCATCCCCAATAGGGGCATGTATGGGAAGCAACCAACTGATGTTTCTCTCTCTCTCTCTCTCTCTCTTTCCCTTTTTTTCTCTCTAAAATCAGTAACCATATCCTCAGGTGAGGATTGTTATCTCCTTTCTTTGAAATTATATTTTTTAAACATATTTTTATTGATTTCAGAGAGGAGGGAGAGGGAGAGAGACACAGAAACATCAATGATAAGAGAGAATCATTTCATTGATTGGCTGCCTCCTGCACACCCCACGCTGGGGATCGAGCCTGCTACCTGGGCATGTGCCCTGACTAGGAATCAAACTGTGACCTCCTGGTTCATAGGCTGCCTCTCAATCACTGAGCCACACCAGCCAGCTGAAATTATTCTTTTTATCATTGTTCACCTTCTTGAGTTGAATGATTTAATTTTCCATCTTCTTTTTTAATATAAGATACTCTGAAGACCATAAATTTCCTTCTAAGTAGCCTTCTGACTGCTTCCTATCATTTTCAAATGTAGCATTTTTATTATCATTTAGTTAAAATGATTTTATTCTTTGACTCATAAGTTATTTAGAAATTTTCCAAACATGGGTCATTCGTGTCCCAAGCATTTATGAGCACATACTTAGTCTGTGCCTGGCTCTGCTCTAGATGCTTAGGGAGACATTACATTGTCCAGCGTTTATCTCTGTATCTTGGATTCCCTAATCCTCGATGTTAGCCATGCTTCAGTTGTCTATTTTTGTGCCTTCTCACCCCTAAGACTCTAAATTCCTTGGGGGCAGGATTGGATCCCATTACGTCCCCAGGGCCTTGCACAGTGCCTAGTAGGTTTTCAGTAAATGTATAATGAATGCCTGGCCGGTGTGGCTCAGTTGGTTGGGGGTCATCCCATGCACCAAAAGGTCGCCAGTTCAATTCTCCATAAGGAACATGCCCAGGTTTCGGGCTTGATCCCCAGTAGGGAGTATGCAGGAGGTAACCAATGGATATTTCTCTCTTGAATTAATATCTCTCTCTCTCCCCCTCCCTCCCTCCCTCCCTTCCTCTCTCTAAAAAGTCAATAAAAGCATATTTTTTTAATAAATGTAAAATGAATGAATGAATAATGTACCTCCCCAACTGAAGTGTCCTAGCCTAAATGTCCCATGAAAGTAATTAATGCAATGCCTGACACATTGAAGGAACACAGTGAAGGAAGGAAGGAAGGAAGGAAGGAAGTAAGTAAGTAAGGAGAGGAAGGAAGGAAGGAAGGAAGGGGAAGGGCAGGAAAGGG